TTAAAATATAAGTATGTGTATATCAAAAATAATTCAAAATCTCAGAATTACATACGTCTCAATTGACCTTTACTTGAACAATAACGATAGCAATTCTAAGATATTTTCGATTAAAATTCATACAATTTTATCGGTGGACACTTAATTTCGCCTCCACAACAAGGGACAACGCATATATACTATAATTCCAGTGTCCGACATTCATGGAATACTATGACTCTATTTTCTTAGTTTCTTCACTATCATAGCCTTCATTCTATCACTTACAAAACTACGGGGAGGAACAAAATCAAGAAGCTACACTATTTTTCGGCAAATATAACTAAAATTCTCAATAAAAATAATTAGAAAATAAAAAAAAAAACAATCCACCATAACCTGGAGTTATTCTACTAGTATGCGCAATTAAATGATTAAGGAATTCTTGAACATTCGTGAGTGAGTTTCATGATAAAACTTAGTAGTAAAAAAAAAGTATATCTATCGCTTCAACTAATCTTTACTAACTATGTGATTACAAATAAAAGTTATTAAAAGGATAACGCCTCCTTATCTACATTCATCCTCCCAAAACCAAAAAAAAAAGAAAGGATTTCATACGTATAAAGAACAATTAATTATCGGAACAAAAAAAGCTAAAGAAACTTAAATAAGTAGTTGTTGGGTAGCCACGTGTGATACTCGTTGCCGCGCGAGCGCGGAGAGAGCCGAGACAAGAGCACCTGAAAGCTCCTGTCAAACCACTTCCAGAGTGTGGTCCGGCGCTTTGAAGTTGGCGATCGATTTATATGTATGTGTGTATTTATGTGCGAACACTCGTCAGCTCTCCTGTTCGCCTTCTCCTTCTTGGAAAGCTGCACTGCTTCAAATCTGTTTCCCTGGTAGTTTTTTTTTTTCTTTTGTCACTCTCGCAGTCCACAATGTATCCCTCTGTCGCTTTGCACTTTTATTCCTTTACTTCTTTCCCTGCGGTCACTGACCTATTTCATGTACTCAGGGCTATCAGCTGGTTTTGAGTATTGGCTTATTGTTGATATGTACAAGCGCGTAAGTGGGAACTTTCGGGTTTTGAGGCCCTAGTGTCACCCCTGCCTAGTGGGGACCTGTAAGATTTGAGGTTCCTATTACTCACTGGTGTCGCAGCGGTTATCATGTATGTGTATGTGTGAACCCTTTTATCTGCTTTTATAAACGTACACTTTAAGTTAATTAAACTTTAATTTACTTTTATTTATTTTAATTTTTGGTTTTATTTCATTAAATTTCTAATTTAATGTA